TCAGGACCACTGACTAGATCATCCGGAAGCATGTCAATTTGTTGTCCGACAAGTTCCCCAGTTATTTCAATCGGTGATATTTCAGCACAAATGTCGTGAATATTTTCAATCTCCGAGTTGTCATATCGTAGATCTCCCATCAAAGAGTTGTAGGCTGAGGCAAAGTGCTTTGCAAAGAAACCAGCGATTGTAGACTGGTCATCTGCCCTCATATCCATATAAGACATCTCATGCGGCAGATCATCACTTTTCCCTTTTATGTTATTCACATGTCTGAAAAACTTCTTTGGATCATCGTCTATCAGATTCTCCATCTCAATTCCGTAATCCTTGAGTGCTGACCGTGCACTGCGTTTATATTCTCTTCTTAATTGTTTAAAATTTTCTACTGATTCAATTGTGTTGACCTTTTTTTAATCTGATGAGCTTTTCTGCCTTTGGTTTTCAACTCGATTAGTGGCTTGTTAAACCATATCGGTTGCTTCCTGATGATTTTTGTTTTTAACTGGACATGAGTTTCGATTGTTGACTTTGAAATTGTATAGAAATTGTCTAGTTTTAATTCTAATGAATTTTTATCGAATTCTTTATTCCAGTCAACATCAAGGAAAGACTCATTTATTAGTTTGGATTATTATTGGATTATTGGATTTGAACGGGGAGTGTACTGTTCTAAATGAATACAAAGTAAAACTCGTTGCTCAGGTTTCACAACCTATTGCAAGACGCCCGTGTGTGTATTATGATACACGAAATAGTCTTTATCCAAAAATATGTACGAGACATGGATTTTGTTCACATGCCCGCTTGAAAAATTGTACCAGTCTGAATACGTTAGGTGCATGAATCATCTGGTAGGATCTCCATCCAGTGAACCTGTCCCTAATTTCATTCAGCCTTGAACATCTGTCTACAAGATGGGATGTTGTTTCCACTTCATCACCACAAAGTCTACAGTCAGGGTCATCCCTAAGATTTAGCTTTCTTAGGTGATTATTGACTCTGGCATGTCCGGTTAGTAAGCCAATGACCATCCGTAGGTCTCCCTTGGAAAGCTCAGTCAGGTTGGCTGTAAGTTTGGGACATGGGAGCTGCACGATATGTTTCGTTTGCTCACATGTAAAAGTACCCTGCCAATTGAGGCGGGCTCTATTTTTGAGCCATGTTGCAACAGTGCCCTTGACTCGTGAATAATCTATTGGTAGAAACGGTTCAGGTCCTTTCACTGCACTAAGGGATGCTGTTTTAGCAGCCCCATCTGCAAGGTCGTGCCCTCTTATACCAATATGCGACCTGATCCAAACAACTCTAAGATTGTTTGTTTCGGCAATACACTGTAATGCTCTGTAGCAGTTCATAACCAAGCTACTCTCCACCTTGAATCTTTGAAGATCCGATATAGCACCTAGGCTATCGGTGAAGATCGCAATGTTACCCTCCACAGTGCCCTCCATTATTTTGTTTGCACAATGAAAAATTCCAGCTATTTCGGCCTGTTTGACTGTTGTTATCCGTCCCAGGGGAATTGAGCGAGTACTGTTCTCTGTTTCACAGTAGAACCCACAGCCACTGCCTGTTTCTCTGACTGATCCATCAGTGAAAAAGGAGTGATGAGCCCACTCTTTTTGCTGGAAAAATTCATTTAGATTATTTGTTATTATAATCTCAAAACTCCTACTAAAATTGTAGGAGGAAGTCTTAAGTTTGTCAGAAGGAGCCTCAAGTACCCTTTCAATATTAAAAAGGTTTCTTAAGGCATTCCCATGTAATACCCTGGAACAAAAGTTCCCATTTACTTGAGTTCTCATTCTGAATGCCGTTTTCATTGCTTCGCCTTCTATGAAGTCCTCAAGCTTTGGCAGGCCCAGGAGAACATCAAGTGAATTTTGTGGTGTTGTTTTCATGGCCCCAGTAGCACTTAGACATGCTACTCTTTGCAAATGATTCAGTTTTTTCCTAGCACTGGCGCTTGTGGTGCCAGTCCACCAGATGAAAGAACCATATGCAAGCATAGGCTTGAAAACAGCTGTGAAAAGCCATAAGAGACATTTAGGAGATAAACCCCATGATTTGCCAATGGCTGATCTACAGCACCAAAATACTCTCAAGCATTTCTTTATTCTATATTCAATGTGGTTTTGCCAACTGAGTTTCGAATCAAGTATGATGCCCAAGTATTTTACGTTATCACTTCTTTTGATTGTTGAACCAAAAAGAGTTGGGTTTCTGAAGCCCTGTAGGCTACGATTTTTTGTGAATATAATTAATTCTGATTTTGCGGGATTAACCCTGAGCCCCACCTCTCGACACCAATTTTCAATCAGCTTAAGAGCTGCTTGTGTTCTGTCTGATAGAGTACTCAAGAATTTGCCCCTACAAATAATGCTCAGATCATCCGCATAACCAACTGCTTCGTGTCCCTCTTCTTTAAGTCTTCTAAGAAGGCTGTTCACTACTAGTAGCCATAGGAGTGGCGACAGTACTCCACCCTGAGGGGTCCCTCGCGTGGCATGCACTGTAACAACCCTATCTTGAGCTCGCAAGATTATGCTTCTAGTTCCGAGCATGGCACCGATCCAATTTTGGATCACTTGGTTTGCACCCATATCTTTGACACTTCTATTTATGGCATCGAATGATACATTATCAAATGCACCTTCGATGTCCATAAAAGTTGTTATCATAAATTCCTTATCCAAGAGTGTTTTCTCAGCCATGGATACTATTTTATGGAGTGCTGTCTCGGTCGATTTGCCCTGCTGAAAAGAGTGTTGGCTCTCGTGCAGGTGGCCGGACGCATCCAAAATCTCTCTCAGATGTCTTTCAATCAGTCTTTCCAATCCCTTTAATAGAAATGATGAGAGACTGATTGGTCTGAAAGATTTAGGTGATGTATAGTCATCTTTTCCTATTTTAGGAATAAATGTTACTTTCACATTTTGCCATGAGCTTGGGACGTGACCCAGGATAATCGAAGACTTGTATATAGATACAATTAAATCCCCAATTATGTCCCATGTCTTTTGTAAAAGCACCGGATAAATTTCATCTAAGCCAGGTGATTTGAAGGGGCCAAACGAAAAAATGGCCCATTCCACTTTTCTGGGAGATAAAAGATTGTTTATAAAATTTTCATCATAAGCGGTTCGCCCTGCGTCCAGGTTGTTTAACTGAACGGGCAATGCGTTAGGAATATTATCGGGGAAGTGCGTGTCTAGAAGAAGTTTTGCAGCCTCTTCCTCAGACTCCGTGTAACTTCCATCGTGTTTCACAAGTATTCCGGGACCCTGTGTTGGATCTTTTGCTAGAATCTTGTGTACTCTTGAGGTGCTTTTGGCACCCTCAATCTTGCCAAAGTATCTCTTTTCAGAGTCTTTTTTGGCCTCAAGAATTTTTTTGGCGTATTTGTTCCTGCTCTTCCGCCACAATTCGTGGCAGATAGGGCCTTGAGGTGTATCCTTCCTAGCTAGGTATATTCTAAGTAGCCGTCTGGATTCCTTTCGTAGCCTCTGCAGGTCCCTATTCCACCAATTATTGCTTTTAATCCTCATCTCACGCTCAGGACACATCAATCGGTACGAGGTTTTTAGTAGATCCGTTAACAACTCAGTTGTACGATCCAAACGCTCTCTAGATGAGATGTCAAGACACATTCTTCTGAGTGCCACAGATCCACTTCTAACCTCTCTTCGAAATCCGTCCCAGTTTGTGTTTCTAGGATTCCTAAATTTGTCCTGTGCTCTGGGAGCACAGATTAATTGGAAGCGAATTTCTCTGTGATCAGAGAGCCTGTCTTCCTTAGATACGTGCCAATTTTTCACTAAGTGTGAAAAATTTACTGATGCCAAAGTGATGTCAAGAACTTCTGATCTATTCCTTGTAACAAAAGTCGGTTCAAGACCTCTGTTTAGAATAAATAGGTCAGTTGTTGCAACATACTCCAGAAGCAATTCACCCCTACGATTTGTGTCATTACTTCCCCAAACCGTGTGATGTGCGTTAGCATCTCCACCCATAATTATGGGGAGTGACTTGTTTGTAGAGTAATCATATAGTGCTCTGAATCCTTCACCTGGGATATCCTCGTGCGAAGGATTTGCAAGGTAGAAGGAACACAAGATTACATCTGAATCATGAACACTGTCATCTTTCAGTTTCACAGACGTTATGTCACGGGAGCTAAACTGAGGCAGAAGTGTTAGGCTTAACCCCTTAGATGCAACAATACATGATCTAGGGGGCTGATTTGATATGTTTAAATAAAAGAGACTCATCTTTTCAATGTCAAAACCACATATTTTGTTTTTAACAACCCAGGGTTCTTGTATCAAAAAGATGGAATTTTGTTTTTTTGTTTGCATTTCACAAATCGATTTACACACAAGTGCAGTCGCTGCTTTGCTTTTATGCAAGTTAATTTGATGTACGCTAATCCACGTCTGAGTGTTCAACTGAGGTGATACACTAGCTGTAGATACAGCGTGAGAAAGTGAACTGACATTTGAATTAGCCATGACTAAGACAATTGTAGTTCAATGGGGGGAGAGGTAGAAGGCCTCAGGGATCTGTGTCATCATTTAATGACATTAGATCCCAAGCCTCTACCGAACAATCCATGGCATCAGTGCCACGTAAATCAGTTGATGGATCGACTGTTGGGGCAGTTATTGTTGCAGGTTTCTCCACTACAATATGACCGCTCTGTTCAGGTCTGTCGTCAACTGTTGCAGAAGGGTTCAGTTCGATTACGGTGACATCCATGTTACGATATGATTCGTCATGTGGTGTCTCCAGATCTACTGTACCTACTGTAATTGTATCTTCATCGATTTCCGATGACAGAATTTCCTCTTCCACAACCTCAGACTCCTTCTTTTCAGAAGGTTTTGGTTTTTTGGAACGAGTAATTTCGTGGATACGAGTTTTTCCCATACCAAATTTGAACTCAGGTCCATTCTCTAGGAGAATTGCCCGATCACGGGGTCGAACACTGAGGCCGAGCTGAACTCCATTGTCCTTTGGTGTTCGACTGATGCATCTGAACGAAACTGAGGCGAGACAAGGATTCGCTGCTTTCAGCAAAAGCTGTATGTCTTCCCAGCTGTTCATATGCTTGAAAAAACCAGTGAATAGTGGAGGCGGTGGGATCTGACTGAATGGACAGACAGTAATAGACAAACCCAGCTTTTCAGCAAGTCTGCCCTCCACTCCCTTCAACCATTCACTAGAATAATTGTTGTCACACACAACTTTGACCACCCCACGAGAACGCGTAGTACTCTCAAACGTTGGAGCCTTAGACCCAGCACGTACATCCTCAAGCAGGAGATCGTTTAGCGTCTTCCATATCTTCAGATAAAGATCATGAGATAGTTCGGACAAACAACCTCCCTCGATGGTATGTACGACTGCCATCTCAAGCAAGGATTTCTTCAGAGCCTGGGCATAGGTGGGGTTCACCGCTGCCACATTTTCCGGAGTATCCTTCAAGTCCACTCGTTTGTGAGCATTTGGCTCAGGCGGAGTACCCTCATTTGTGCGCGGACGCTTCTTTGAATCAGTCTGATTGGTTTGGATGGATTGTTGTTGTACCCTTTCCAAAACCCGTGAGGAACCAGCGGTCGGCCCAGATCTTGTAGGCGTAGACGATGACAATGGTACCTCATCTCGACTGGCTTTCAAAGTCGATGAAAGACTAGTAGTAGTGTGTGAATGCTCATCACTTTTCTGGTCTTTAAGATTGTTACGACGGTTACGCCGAATATGTGTAAGGTTTCTACCTATTTATTAGTTTATAGTCAGCATTTATGTAGTCTCTATATGTTTGCTTAGTTTCAACAGTTTTGATGACGGGTTCATTATATCGAATATTGATTGCATTGTGGTGCTTCTCAAAATTTAACAGATGATAATCACTCATGTAACACTGGAACAGCTCAACATCATTTGTCCAGATCAAGTCGAGCATAAGACCATTTTGGTTGTAGCACTTGTTTATCTGGAGGAGACCAAGATCATAGCAAGTATCCAGCACTATCTTCTCTTTTTCACTGGCTGCATTGATCGCTATTGCTATGTCAGGGTCCTCATCTTCGTCAACAAACCAAACCAATTTGGGTAGATTGAAGTCGCCGGAAACGGCATTCATGTTGTTTTCGTATACCTTGAGTGTTGAATCTGGTCGAATATATAATTCTACCAAATAGATGTTCCTTTTGTGGCCAACTACCTTCACCCAAATCTGTTCCGCACCGAACAGGTCACCCGTCCCAATGCAAACCGACTTTAGCTTGTTGTTAACAGCGATCAAAACTCCTCCTCCATTCTCCTTGCGATGAACTTGGTCTTTCTCGGTGTTTGGTGACCGATCATAACGATATACTTCGTAGACCTGCGGAAACAAGTCTGTTGAATTGATGGCGCTATTCAGATGAGTCTCCCGCAGCATGTAAATTGGTGAATGTTGTACAAGAACTTCCGCCACAAACTCAGGTATTTTTGTTTTCAATCCGTTTACATAAGTAAGCTGTCTTGAATATCTTTCATCGTTTAAATTGTGTGAAGTACTCATTTCTGAATTATCTCTCTTGATTACCATCGATGAAAAATTTACAGCCGAGTCTGTTGTGGCATCTAATACTGGTTTCTGGTTTGCCAGCGCTGAGCCGGCGGCCGAAGACCCCTCCGAACACGTTGAAAATCCGCAAAACTTTTCTCGAATTCAATAAAACACGAGCGGCAATCACAATCATCAAAATGCGGTCTATCTCTCGGCGAAACATCCTTAAAATGGCGTTGGTTATTGAAACCATCATTCCAATGGCCTCGTCGACGCTCAGTTACCCAATTCTTGCTTTGAAATGAACGTCTGAATGGATAACTGTGTGTTTGTGCATGATCATTTCTTGATTCTAGACGATTATGCTGCTGATTTTGTAGATTTTTTTGCTGCTGCTGGTGCTGTGTTTTTGTGTCTTGTTGTTGTTTTTGCTGGTTTTGCTCTTTTTTTCATGTTGTTGTTTCTCGTGTTTCTTTTGTTCTTGTTTTTGTTGCTTTTTCATCTTTTTTCGTTCATTTGTCCGCTTGTTTCTTTCTTTCTTTTTCATTTTTTCTTCATCATCTTCATCTGTATTCAAGCATACTTTCCGATCTAATTGAAATATAATATTTATTTTTTCACATAATTCATCACGACATTAATTTTTTATCTTTTTTATTCACATTTCACATTGTTTTTTTTTATATGTATATAATAAATAAATCCCGTACAAAATTCAATACAATAACTGTCAAGTGTAGTTTTGTTAATAGGGATTGATCAGTTTCTCGCGTGGCCCACCTGTCAAATCGCTGTCGTCGACTTGTTCGACGGATTTGTACTGGGTGGTAGATCCAAATAAATGGTGTCATCTTTTAGTGACCAATTTGTGACTCTCAAAAATATCAACATTTGAATTTGTGACACAACGCGTGTGACAAAAATCGCAATTTTTCGATTTTCATACTAAAAATCGAAGTTGAATGAAATTTTTCAAATCGAATACGAAGATCCAAATAAATGGTGTCATCTTTTAGTGACCAATTTGTGACTCTCAAAAATGTCAACATTTGAATTTGTGACATTGTGTATTACAACAAATAAACCGTGTGAAAAAAATTGAAACTTCAAAATGTCACTCCTAGGGGTAGGTTCGAAGCTAGGGGGAGACACAAAGAATAAATTCCGAATCCACTATATAAATTCCTAATCCAGCTATTCCACTAATCCAAAAACACAAATGTGAAATCGAAACTATTTTTCCTATTCCATGCACAGTTTCCGTCAAAAATGCTAATTCTGCTATTCCGCACTATTCCACTAATCCATCAATAAACGTCAAAAGAAATGTCAAATGGAAAAAATTCAATTTCAAAATTTTACAAAAATGCAAAATGGGAACTTTTTCGCGAAAATCCTTAGCAAATCGAAAGAATATTTTTCTCAAAAAAAAAGAAATTTCTACGGGGGTAATTCATAAAATGACATATAAAATAATGGGTCAAAACGTAATGATAGACTACATTTACATTTACATTTAGATACATTTTTGTTTTCTTGGCTTATAGGTGCCATCCATATATACGTAAGAGATTATACTGCTGTAAAACCCATAGTTATCTCATCGTATTATCATCAGACGAATATAACACAAATTAAATGGAGTCGAAATGAGAATCAATTATTTTTTGGTGATGTGAAAGGAACCGTATTCCTTGTTAATTTAAATAATTTTTTGGTAAAGAAACAACTTTTTTCTAACGATTTGATTGAAATGTAATAATATTATTATATTTTTTCAGGGCCGAAACACTAATATATCAATTCATCCAATTTTATTTTTGGAGTCACCAATTGTTCAGATCTCTCAATACGAACAGTTGCTTTTAGTGTCAAACTATTCTAAATGTATTCTCTGTAATACAGAGACGGAGGAGTTTAAGCAAGTTAGTTTAATAACAAACCTTTAGGATAGTTTTCATTTTGCAAAGAAGAGTTTAATATTCAAACAATTTCCAATAGATTGGAACACAACCGCGAGATGGAAAGTTTGGAGCTTGTTTTTTTGTGAATTCCAACAAGTTAATAACCACACGTGTAATTTGCGCAAGACCAAGGAGTCGATTATGGGAGTGTAGCTATCCATTCTTTCGATATTTTCCTATTATTTCCATTACATATTGATTAATTTCCATTCTTTATATTTCCAGGTAGTATCGATGGGAATGTTTTAAAAACACATAACTTCAAATATGTACTTGAGACAGGTCAAATACCTAATTTAGAGGCCTTTTCGACTGAGCCTATAGCAATCGATAAGAAACAGACAACTTCTATTAACGAAATCAATGAGCAACTAAATAATTTGCAAGTTATAAATAAGATGTTTGTTCTGGGATATACTGCAAATGCATTTTATATATTCGATATCCTTCGTTCAAAAATATTACTATGGTGTAATAAATTTGGAAACATTCATACACTTAAAGTTATGAATGAAGACACAATATTTCTTTTTACCCAAAACCATAAAGCATACACCTTTCAAATAAAAAAATTGAATGATCTATTTTTTGAGGCATCTAAAGAGCATTATGAGATGGATCCTCAAAACATGAATTATTTCAAAAATAAATTGGATAGTCCGCTGTTTCGAGAATATTACTCAATACTACGTGAAAAATCACACCGAGAAACTAACTGTGAAAACGTATTAGGAATTTTCAAAACTCTAGATAAAATGATTTCACAAAACGTTGTAACAACGCACGTGCAAAACATGAGATCCAAGAAATTAAAAACAGAAAATGAACTTGATCAAACTCATTCAGAAAATTTACTGTTAGGGTATGAATGTAAAATTACTGAAAACATTACAGATAATAAGGAAGACTTTTACAATTCAAATACTTCAAAAATGAATTTATTATCTAAGCACCAATTTGAAAAAAGTAATTTAATTATAAAGAATAGTATCTTACAAAACATGTACTGCATTTATAAATCATTGAAAGTATCAAAATTTGATTTGAATGACCGGTATGCGGAATTTTTTGACAACTATGATTTACATAAAATTAAAAAGGTTCTCAATGCTTTGGAACTTATAATATTGGAAAATGAGAAAGATGTTACACAATTTGAAGCAAAGAAAAGTTGTGCTTGTATTTATTTGAACTATGTCAAAATAGATATTTTGAAAGATCTTTCAGAAGAATCTGAAAATTTCATCATTGAATGCTTTTTGGTAGTTAATTCAAAATATAATGGTCAATTTCAGCGCTGTCATTGTTGCAAATTTCCGCTAAGTATAATGCCGAACGTTGTAAAATACAAAGAGATAATTGAAGTAATTATCACAAGATTAGTTAAGCAAGGAGAAAGACAAACAATATTTGGAATAGTTGAAGCTATACCATCGACAATATATATATATCTCAAAGTAATTCTAAATGAAAATTTTGCAAGCTTGGAGTTTAATTTTTTTGTGGATATTTTTTTTTCTTGTGCTCATAAATCTTTTTTTAATAAACATATACAAAGGTTCAAAGTCTTCAGTAAATTCGATTTTTGGGTTGAATATTTGACACGCCTCATGCGACTTCATAAGGAAGAAGAAATTCATTGTATTCGTTGTGGAACATATAGTAAACTGGAGTTAAAAGGAAATATCAAATCAGAAAATATTTACTCTTACGATTATTTTTTTGAAACGATGACTATCATAAATAATAAATCTGCTCTTGAGCTATGTAAAATATCAGCTCATGATATTCCGTCTGATGCAATTAGCAAAATTTTTTATATGAAATGCTTATTAGGTTCCCATTAAGAACACCTTAAAAGAATACATTCAGCTGTCATTTTTGTGGTTCCTAATTGTAAATTTTATCGTATTTTAAAAATAATATTTCATATTGGCTAATAAACCAGCAAACAAATTTGTAATGTTTTAAGTACATTCTAACGTTGAAAAATTTAACGTTTTGGCCCATTCTCGACGAGAATTTCTCGTGGTCATTTTCGTGTCAAATGGAACAGAGATTATGTGTATAGTTTCCACGAATCCCAATGGAATGGATCCACTTGTTCCATTCTCTTCCAATAATATTTCGTTTGACAACATAATGTGACCCAGTACATTAAGTTTTAAATTGAAAATCTAACAATTCATTTGTTCATTTTCGCTCAAATAAAATAATAAACAATTTATTCGGAAAGAGATTTGCGTAATTTAATTTAAAACACTGCATACATTTATTGCATTTACAGTATGTTTCATTATAGAGGCCGGTTGATTTAACCACAAAAAGTTTCAAATATCTTGAAAGTATTTTTGGTGTCGCCAGATGGCACACTAAGCTAATGCGCCAATTAACATTGACAGTTCTCAAATCACTACAGTGTTTGTTGTGCAACGAAAATATGGATTCGGAATATTTTCATAAGCGTTTTGAAGCGGTGTTTTTGCATTTACATCCAAAAGGACCAAAATGGTCAATAGTGAAGGTCGCAAAACACATTAAAAAGTCAAGAGAGTTCGTAACAAAATGGATCCAGCAGTATAAGCACGAAAAATTTTTGAACGATCAGCCCAATTTTAAGCCAAACCGAGCCTCCTCGCCAAAGCAAGATAAGCGAATAGTTAAGTTGTTCGACGAAAATCCAGGTATGTCGTTAAGCCAAGGCGTTGAACGGCTACGCCATCTTAAAATAGAGGTCTCGCGCTCCACACTCCAGAAAAGATTGGATGTCGCCGGTGTTCATTATCGCAGTACAATGAAGAAATCACTTTTGACAGAAAACCAGAAGAAAAACGCATTGACTGGGCAAAGCAAAATTCAACAAGAGATTGGAGCGAAGTTATATACACTGACGAATCATTCTTTTGGCTGGTGAATAGCACTACCCATGCCTAGTCTAGAGCCGAAAAGAGAGTGGTCGTTCGCACGGTAAAGCATCCGAAAAAGGTGCATGTTTATGGTTGCTTCTGTGAAGCTGGTTTTGGAAAGTTGACCATATTCACGGGCATTCTAAACGCCATGAGGATGAACCAACTTTATGCATCGACAGTGCTACCCACCGCCAAAAAGTTCTATGGCAACGGTAATTCGAATTGGCTTCTACTAGAAGATAATGATCCAAAACACAAGAGTCGTCTCTGCACCGCTTGGAAAGAGGAAAATAGAATAAAACAAATGGACTGGCCGCCACAGTCACCCGATTGCAATCAGATCGAAAATGTTTGGGCCATTATGAAGGCAAGTCTTCGTGGTAAAACACACCGCAATTTGAAGCAGCTCAGTTCATTCATTCAACGCCAGTGGAAAGATTTTCAACGCAAATATGCTGAAAATTTGAGCAAAAGTATGCCCAACAGATGTGCCCGTGTGATCGAGAAAGAAGGAGAATGGATTAAATATTAATTTTTGGCGCCGTAGCTTAGATACTAAATAAAATGTATATAAAATAATTTTGTAAAACTCTTGAGTTTTATTATAAAAAATCAACCTCCCTCTATAATGAAACATACTGTATTTTTCTTTATTTGTGGAATTAGTATTTTGAATTTTCGAAATGCAATCCCTCTATCGGTCATTATGTGAATTTCTTGAAAAATAATAATAATAATAACTGCAGCGAACAGCGTTCCTTCGCCTTGGTGGTTTATTGAAAATATTTTAATTGAATAAATATAATATAATACAATTTGATTTTTATCAAGAATTTTTGAGAGTGTAAATGAAAAATTAATGCTTTTCTCCTTTCCTGTAAATAATATAAGTACAAAACACTTCTTTTGAAGTTCTCACTGTGACGCAATACTGCACATCAAATCTGAAAATGATCTGATATAAATTTTCAGTGACGCTTGCAATCAAATACACAAACAATTTTTATTTTGCGTTTGAGTCGATTCTTCAAACTTCAAATTTTTTTTGAGTGATTTCGTGTGGAATTGCCGATATAATATTTATTTTCATTTGCATGTCGCGGATCAGTTCATCTTACGAATGTAAGACATTTTATTTTTGAAATGTTAATAATAATAATAACTGCACCGAACAGCGTTCCTTCGCCTTGGTGG